ATTTATTTGATTTGTATGCCCCACTCCATAGCTATGACGCTTTCAGAGTAGGTCACAATGCGTTAAATGGCAATAATTACAATAATACAATTAACAATACATTTAACAGCACACATAGTAACAGTAAAGAAATAAAATCAATAGATAAAAATAGAGAAAAGAGAAGATAAGAAAGGAGACATAAAAATGAAATGCTCAATGAATTAAACCAGTTAAAATATCCTTAAATAAAATAGAATAAAAGTATACATAGATAAGATACAAATTAGCTGATGCCTATGGGAGGTATGTGCCTCCTGGAGAAAAACTGGAAGATGTTAAAAAAGGAGAGGGACTTTCCTGATGGTAACATCCCCAACTACGGAATGCTGTCCCCAATGAGGGCCACTTCTCATCTTCTTGGTGCCCAGTTTAACAGAGTCCTCTATTCCCAAGCATTTGATAGGGTCTTAGTTTGAGTTGCCTTATATATTCACTGTACATTTACACTGTAATTGTTTTAGCTGTTTCAAATTGTTTGCAATTTTTATGTTAAAATTTTAACAAACTTTTATATCATGTTTTATTATGTTGTGTTTTTAGGTTGGTATTTTTATGATCTGCCATTGGCCATGATGCAGCAGAGAAAGGAAATGATGAATGAATGAAATAACTAAGTAACTTCCCATATCCCAAAATATGGAGATTAATTTTGGTATGAATTTACTCTCAAAGCCTCCCAGAGGGCACTCCAAGGTGAAGGAATGTTCTCTTTGGGTCCCTGAAAAAATGGAAAATGATTCTTACTATAAATTTATGTACTCAGAGCCTCATAGAGAACATTTCTTCACCTTGGAATGACCTTCATGAAGATCTGGAGACTAGGGGTAAACAACATGTTGCCTTCCAGGTGTTTTGGACTATACCTCCCTTAAGCTGCAATCAACATGGACAGTGGAGAGGCATTATGGCAACTGGTAGCTGGAGGCCAGAGGTCTACCTCTGTCTCACAAAAGATGTTCTAAAAGACAAGCCTTGGAAGGAGATGCATAAAAAGCTACAGTGTATAGATCAAAAAGGTGTATTGCCAGCACAAATTTTAACTCAAAAAAGTTTTCAATGCTATGTCTGAGAATAGCACCTATCTTTAAAGGAAGAAAGGAAGCCAAGTGGCTCCTCTACAAGGAACACCCATCTTCCCATATTATATAACATAAAATATGTTTGTGAGACAGGGCATGCAAAGTCTCCCTATTTTATTTCTATAGCAAAGAATGAGACCATTTTATCACACTAGTAAAAATTGCCTTTTTTGTTTTTATGTTACCTGAGTATTCTAAGGCAATGGAGGTGCATTGGTTTAATTAGTTTTAGCATAATCGCCTGCTGACAGCAGTTAGCACTAACGGATGCTACAATTTCATGATCACCAATGATGGTCTAAGGATGGGAATGAACAATCCAGCAAACCCCTGTGTAAAGGCGTGACTTAAACAATTTCTTTTCTTCAAAAAGAAAAATGGAAATAAATATGCATCCGCTAATTTATCCTGTTAACAGCAGACAACTGGTGTTGTTATTTGTACAGTATTTACAATCAAAGACCCTATAGGGTCTCTTACCTTGGGAATAACCACTACAGAACTGTGTCAATACCTCTGATTTACTACATTTAGGGGGTTTTTTTGGAAAGTGTAATATGCAAGGTACGTAATTTTGAATTTCACATTCCCTCACCCCACCCCACTATCTGAATGATGGCATACCCAATTTGTATCAGCATTCTTGTAATTTTATTCAAAGGTCCTTTCAATAGCAAATCAAATCTAACATGTACAACTGCTACATTAAAAGGGGGGGATGTTAAAGAAACTGTGCCAAAGTATTAGAGATAGTTGAGAGCATTATAAGAGTAAGAATACTATTAAGAGAGTTCTGTGTCCAAAGTCTGCCAATGAGACAAGTGCAAATATAATAGGTTAAAGTAGCTACCAGATGGTAGGCAGAAAGTCGAAAGACAACATGCCATCAATTGTTGATAAGCTGTACAAGAGGAAGCATGGAACAGCAATTCTGCATTATCCCTTCTCTCTGTGGCAATACCCAAGGACTAGTTTCTACAGAAAATACTCAGGCTTAGTATTTCAGGAAATACTCAGGCCTCCTTTGTAAGCACAGAAACCAGTAACATAATATTCAGTAAGAGTGGTATGTGACTTCAGCAAATATGGAAAGTCAGTCCCAAACCTGTTAAGCCAGACACTTGAATTGGAACAGTTCTGCACATGTATCCCTTGAAAAACTGTAGAGGGCTCAGAAATTCTTGCATACTGAGCACTAAACCAGGAAGCTATGGGAACTGGCAATGCACAAGTCATATTGAGCAGGAGACTTGTAAAATATGGGTGCCTAAAAAGATACTTCTGAGTCATGGGCTTAAAAAAATGCTTCTGAATTGTGTCTGTTAATCAATTTCATAATAGCTAACAAAACATGTCAGGGGCATTCATACACTGTCCAATAAAGAAATCATCTCTCTGCGTTCTTGATTCTCCAAGGAGCTTCAGGGCCAGAAGCAAGTAAAATGTTCCACTGTGCATATTAATTCAGCGCAACTGATACATACATCAGACTGATCCCCATGTAGAACATGTGTGATGGGGATCACATACTCACTGCCCTACCTTGAATATGGAATGAGATCATATACATGTTTACCACATCCAAATATCCATGTTTACCATATCCATGTCAGGGCATTTATATAAACCAAGTCAATATGCATACAAGAGGGATGGAATGGTTCAACCCTGCTCTCCCATCATGCATAAATTCATGCACACCTTTTGAGGCAAACAACTATGAAACTAGTTACAGCAGCTTTGCTACATGAGTCTAAAAGATGTATACTTAATAGAAACATAGAAACAGAGCGAGTCAGAAGGGGGCCTCCTGGGCCATCTAGTCTGACCTCCGGCACCAGCCGGCTCCGCTCACGACAGGTCCACCATGTGCACGTCCAGCCTATCCGTACCGATGGGGCCTCAACAACCTCTCGTGGAAGCCCATTCCACATCCTTGGGGTCCTAACTGACAGGAAATGCTTCCTGGAATCCAAATGGAACCTTGGCTCCCTGAGCTTTGCCCTGTTGGAGCGCATCCTGCCTTCCTCTGCAGGGGAGAACAGGTCTCTACCCATCTCCATGTGACATCCCCTCACATAACTGTATGTCGCCAACATATCCCCTCTGAGTCTCCTCCAGGTTGAAGAGACCCAGTTCCCTCAGTCTCGCCTCATACCCCATCCCCTGCAAACCTTGTGGCCCTGCGCTGCACTGACTCCAACCTGGCTATATCCTTTCTGTAATGAGGGGCCCAAAACTGAGCACGATACTCCAGTTGTGGGCGCACCAGAGTCATATAGAGTGGTAGTAATACCTCTCTTGATCTAGAAGCCACCATTCTGGCTATGCAACCAAGGGTGGTGTTTGCCCTCTTGACCACCGCATCACACTGCAGACTCACGTTTAGCCTGCAGTCAACCAGTACCCCAAGGTCCCTTTCACAAGTGGTGCTCTCCAGCCACTTGTCACCTAACCTGTACTTATGACAGCTATTCCTATGCCCCAAGTGCAAGACCTTGCACTTATCCACATTGAACGCCATCCTGTTGTCTCCTGCCCACTTCCATAGTCTGTCTAGATCCTTTTGGATCTGGAGTACCTGCTCCTCAGTTGTGGCCACTGCTTCAGTTTTAGTGTCATCTGCGAATCTGATCAGCAGACTGTTCACCCCTTCTTCCATGTCGTTAATGAAAAGATTAAACAGGATTGGCCCCAGGACAGAGCCCTGGGGGACCCTGCTTGTCACTGGCTGCCATCCTGATGATTTCCCACTAATGGTTACCTTCTGCTTTCGGTCAGTCAACCATGCCCTAATCCACTGGACAGAGCTTTGGTGTATCCCAAAACTCCTCAGTTTCTCCACCAGAATATCATGGGGCACGTTGTCAAAGGCCTTGATGAAATCCAGGTAAACCATATCCACTGCATCCCCTCCATCTAGCCATCTCGAAACCTTGTCATAGAATTCCACAAGGTTTGTCTGGCAGGACCTGTTTTTGCAGAAGCTGTGTTGTGTGGCTGTTAGCCTCCCTTCCCTATCTAGCATCACTAGATCTCTCTCTATTATGAGCCTTTCCATTGTTTTTCCTACAATGGACGTAAGGCTAACAGGTCTATAATTCCCCATGTCCCTTCTACTACCCTTTTTGAAAATTGGGACCACTGATGCTACCCTCCAGTCCTCTGGAACGTCACCTGTTCTCCACGAGGCCTCAAAAATGGAGGCCAGCGGGTGTTAATATTTCATGGTAAATACAAAAACAGTATCTGCTTATATGTTACAACCCCTGTCTATATGGTTCCAACACACACAGTAAGGCAATTTTCACACAGTGAGTGAAACTACTTTTGTTGGCTTTGTGAAGCAGTCTGCACCAAAGTAAAAGAGCTCAATTAATATAATGAGAATTTAATTTTAATAGTGTTGACTGTTAATTTGTTACATATTTAATACAAATTAATTTTACATGAATATTGCTGCTCTATATTCAAGAAAAACAGGGAAACATAACTCAATCACTTAAATAAAAATGTTACATTAGGACTTTGTTGCTGAAGCTTGTATGTGATATGTAAGAGTTAGGAAAAACATATGTAACAAAATGTATACATGAAGGTTGGTAGGCATGATGGAGGGCAGAGCGCTGTCATGAAAATCCAAACACTACTCCATGTGATTCCTGTATGGAGAAGAGCTAAATTCAGTAGCTGTTGACTTCAGACTTTTGTGGATGAGTTCTTTTAACAGCCATCCTTAAATGCCCTTCTATACCAATACCAATACGGCTCTTACTATGGACACTCTTGAAGTGAGGCTACAGACAGCAGGTATCTCAGCTTATCCTAAAGCAGAATTATGCTTAATGAAATATATGAAATGTGAAAAAATATTCTTACTTTAGAAAAGACTGGAAATCTTCGCATACCGCTTCACAGCCTGGCCATTTGCATACTCCATGCCCATAAAGTGGATGGTTATGAGAGTGCTCTTCATGGGATAAACTGAAAGAATGGGGGAGGGAAAAAGTAGGAAAGCATTATAATGCAATGCTTTGAATGAATTTACCTTGCTGTAGCATTGAAAGCAAAACATACAGGTATAATACATAAATAAAATTAAATATCCAAGAATGAACAAGTTTATTTTCTTTAATGAAGCCCTGGTTTGAGTTTTATAACAGAACAGTCACAAGCCTTGCAGTTTGTAGCAAGCAGGTTATGTGTCTGATTGATTAATTAGAAGTTTGTAAAGAACTGAAACAAACATAGGAAATGAATGTTGGAAGCATTTAACAGTGTAGCTTGATGTTCTACCCAATAGAAAAATGTTTTGAACAATACATTTTTGCACCATGCACAGTACTTGCAATCTGTATCTTAAATAATTCCTAGAATTTATGACTCAAACTGCTATGTAAGAAAACAGAAAACAAAACATGTATCTCACTGTTATTGCATATTTAACACTATAGTGACAGACTAGCATTTTTTCCTTGCCCTGATGCCTTCTTTGTAGCCTTTTTCATACTTATTAGAAAAAGGTAAATGTTTCCCAACCATAAAATGAATTATGACAAGGAACTTAACAAAAAGATGCTATTTCAATTGGTTAGAAGGCAAAATTAACCTTTACGCTTTGTAACTTTCATAAATCCCCAAATATAGTTTATAACAAAAATGCTGTGCATGCGCACATGTGAGCATGTGGGGAGGAGAGATCCTTCTGAACACAAAGGGGTTAATCTTCTAGCAGGATTTGAATCAATAGGTAATGATTTGCCTGCACTGATCCAAGTCATGAGTTGCTTTGATCTAGGCCACGTGGTGCTTAGGGAAAAAATATCTGTTGCCTTAACTGATGAACCATGTTCTGAAATATCTTTACTCAACTTCTGCATAAAAATTTCTTAAAGAAATTATTTTTCTGACAGTTTCCATAACCTTAAATGATTTTTCTTAACATGACATACCCAAGTTATCTTGAATACTGTACATTTTTGCCCACATTCACATTTTTTCCTCAGAAAGATTTTATTTGGCATTAATAAGAATCCTTTGCAATTTAAAGCTTTAAACAAAAGGATGTAAAATAGACATGCAGGAGACTGGGAAAAAAAAACTGGAAATCCTTTTTTTTCTGTCATATTGGCAAATATGAATGTGCTGAATGCATTGCAACTTATTACAGACATCACATTATTAGTTCCAGAACAGAATTGGCAATTTGGTAATTTTTACCGGGTTAAATTCTTCTGGAAGTCTGTATACTGGCACATAACAATACAATATTTTGCATTTCTTATTGAAATGCAAACAGAAATATGGAAGTGAAATTTAGTTGAAATTAAAATTGAAGTGAAATTAAAAACTTTCACAGGGAAAGTATGCCAAGTTACTAGAAATAGGCAGAAAGATGTAACACAATCTTTTCAAATGCAGAGGTTAACCACAATGTATAAAATAAATGCAATTGCATTGTTGTGCAAGTACCATTCTTTCTCAGGGAGAGTGGTCTTTATATGCTAAAACAGACATTTATTTTTTGATACTGAAAATGAACCCATTTCAGGAAAGCTGGTATTTGAAGTGGCATACTGGCTATGTTCTTCCACATTTACAATCCAACAATAAGCCTTCCCGGAACGATCACAGAAAGTGTTGCTGTAATTATTTCTATGGAGCACAAGATGAAGAATAGAATGCATTAAAGAAAAAGGATGCGTAGTTGTTGGGTAATATGTAGGTTTATGGTAAACTTGAAATGTTTTAGGGCAAATACGTGAGGGAGGACCCAGAGATTGAGTGTAGTATTTGAGGAGACTGCAGCTGGTTGAGGCACTCCAACTGTGTTTATGACATTGAGACTTTTACTAAAAACATCTTAGGAAAATATCTTAAAATGTAATAAAGAGAATAAACCTGAAATTGCATTTTTAAAAAGTTCCAGTTCCAAATATACTTGAGATATTTTGGGACACTTAAACTTTATACAGTGGTAAATGCTCATTATCCAGGTGGCAATTCGGGGGGGGGGGGTGTCTCTCTGGTGCACCTCCAATCTATAGAATCCTCTCCCCACTGCACTCTGCCTGGCACCAGCCTTGTCATCTTTTTGGCATGTGGTTAAGCCATTATGCTGAGGCTTTTAAAAATACATTCGGCTATCCAAAGGCTTGAGGGAATTGCCCTTTTCGGGTGTTTTTTGTTTTGTTCACATGGCCTTGTCATACTGTATGCTTTAGCTATTTTAAAATTTTAACATTTCTTTGATAAGATGTTATGGTGTTTTTATTGTAAGTTATTGCCTTGTTTTGATGGACTGTTTTAAACCACCCAGAGAACGTCAGCTATGGGGTGATATAGAAATGAAACAGTAATAATAGTAAGAGTTGTGCTGCAGCACTATTTTGTTTGTGCCTACTGGGCTGCAATAGTTAGTGGAGTGCCCTACCCAAAGGGCACACATAGCTCGGCATATGTTTGAGCCACCAGTCTAATTTTACAATCCCTCAAATGTGTAAGAGTTTATTCACAGAAAGTGTGGTTTAGCAGTTAGAGTTTTGGACTGGAACCCAGAAGACCTGGCTTCTAGTCCCTGCTAAGCCATGAAGTCCACTGGGTGACTTTGGGCCAGCCACATATGTTCAGCCTAACCTACCTCACAGGGCTGTTGCTGTGCGGAGAAAATGGAGTGGAAGAAAACCTTGTAAGCTGCCTTGGCTTCCTTGCAAGAGAAAGAAAGGTGGGGTATAAAGGCAAGGTATTATTATTATTATTATTATTATTATATTAATATTAACAATAATAGGGCAGAATTGTTGCCCAAAACCCCTAGCAGAGCAGAAAATATGTTTGTTTTGACATGCGTGTGGGTTTACATATGTGTATATGTGTGCATGCATATATGTGCATATGCAGAAATTTGGCTTCTGTGCAGAAATCAAATAAATAAAATGAATTACACATAGAACAATCACATTTGTATTGTTTTGGCTACCTCTGACTTGGCAGACATGGCATGAAATAGGATATTGGGAATAAGGTAGTAAGAAAGATAATAAAAAGTAGCTGTAAGTTGCATGTGATGAGTTTCTTGAAGTGGTACCATACTATCTCAAAGAAAATTAAAAATAAAACTAACCCGCACTACAGAAGAGGCTATCTGAAACAAAATAAAAGAGGGTCATTGAGTCAACCTTCTCTGTATTTTCCAGGAACAGATATAAATAACAGCACAAGAACCGATCAACAAGCTGCACTGCCTGCTTCTTTCTCTCTCTCTCTCCATAATGACATAGTCTTAATATCAAAATGCCCATCAGCTCAAGTCACGCATGAGGACGCTTTGTCATGTGTATTCCCATTGAGTGAATAGGAGAGTCTTTCAAAAAATTGTTTTTGTACTGTTAGTGGTTGACTCTATTAGGGAAATAAAGCACCAGCTTAAAAATTAGAGGAAAAGAGAGAGAATAGAGCTTACAATACCACCACAATTTACTTACTCAGCTTTAAACTAAAGGCAGAGATCCATTTTAGGACAAGTTTCACTAGGGGGCATTTACAACTGATGTCATATCACACCTAGCTGTTCTTAAATTTGAACAGTTTAAGACTGTTTTGTTTTCTTATTAGCAACTGATTTTGCAGACTGAACTGGTGAAAAACCAGGCACTGAATGTTAAGAGTCCATTAGGGTCAATGAAAAAAATAGCTCTTGTCAGTGTTTTTTGTTTCCATGTCTGGAAAATTTATCAAGATTTGTCTGCAACAAAGCACAGAAACTGCAAAAATAAAAGGACAACGTGTCCACATGTTCTATAAGGGTACCAACTTGTACATACTGCAACATGGCTGGTGCAATCCACAGATCGCTTAGTCTTTTTTGATACCCTTAATGAAGACTAATAGTGTTAGCCAATTTTATGAAAACATCTCCAGAGAACTGTGTGTGTGTGTGTGTGTGTGTGTGTGTGTGTGTGTGTGTGTGTGTGTGGAATTTTACACAGCTGTGATCATGCTGCAAATCACAGACCCTGTTTTTTTGGTTTGGCATGGAATTTTGGTAGGTTTTTGCAAAATGTATAAATCTTCTATTACATTTACATTTGCATATTTTTAAGATAGCATAATTTACACATCCTAAATAAAACAAGAATAACAAAATTTCACTCCATGTATAAATATATATATAAAGAGAATAAGTTGATACAATATATTTAGATAGTTTGTACAACTGAAAAGCTTCGCCCTTAAGAAAAAATGTGTTTGGTATATGACCACTGCTTAGCTGACTCATAATGAAAATCCAAGTTAAAAACAAAGGCACTGTTAATACTCCCATGTATTTCTATGAATAGGGGGAAGGAGTGAATGAAAAAGGGAGACAAGAGGTCCTACAAATGATTATCAGAACTCCTGAGGTAAAAATTAAGAGTGCTGGTAATCATTAGATGCAGAATGACATTCTTTTCACAAATCATAAATGAGAACCTGCTACAATATACTTTGCATCACCTTATACCAAAAACATGTAAACAAAGAAACATCATAGAAACTGTTCTATATATAGGGAACTAGTATGTTTTGATCTTTTAGAACTGATTTATGCTTTACACTATGTATATACATAGATTACTGATATTTGCTGTATGTCTCTTGGCAGCACCAAAAATAAGAAGGAGGAACCTGTGTTTCAACATAAGGGAACTTGTGATGAATATGTTTCAGGGTGCTGCATTTGGTATGTGAACATGAGTAGCCTCTTCACACTTCTATGGGCTTCTAAAGAATTACCATTAACAAACATGATGGTTGCATAAAATGTGAAATTATCCACCCTCTCTTTCTAAAAAAAAATCTGCTTGCTTCTATTAAAACAAATTGGAGACTTCCACCACCCAAGTAAGGTCTATTATTAGATAGGTATACAGGAAGTAAAATACCCACACAAAATTGAGAATTTTAAAAGGCTCTAGAGTAGGCAAAATATTACAGCTATAGAG